GGAGCTTTCCGATACAACTAACCATTTTCCTCTCCCCCCTCTATCTATCTATGTATCCCCACATAAATATTACCGTTATATTTTATTCTCTCTTTTCTCTTTTATGTGTGTGTCGATCTGCAACGCTTTTATTAAAATCGATAGCCTTTTGTCAACTTGCTTTAACACATCATCCAACATGCAAGAGACAAAGGTGTTCATCTTTAGCGCCGTACTTATTTCTCGCGAAATCTTCGTGTTATCTCCTTTCGCCATCGTGTATCGATTTGCTGACATTAGATTAAGATCTCTCCAGCCCATCGATCGCGTGTCTCTCGAAATCCAGATACTGTGGGAGCGGGACAACTATCCACAGCCGCCGGCCAGATTACCACCAACGACTCGAACATTTTGATAACGAATTTGATGCGATCGCTATCGTAGCTTTACCTTTTAACTTGACAGCTACAACAGGTAATAATCATTTCTGTCAAACTATTGACTTCACACCCTCCAACTCTGTCTTTTCTTGGCTCTAGAAAAGCCTGCGGGGGACGTTGAGGTAAAATTGGAAAGAAAATAGCAAAGATTTCAAAGAAACTCGGGCTACACGGCGTGGTAAACGCGATTTCCAGCCTGTAAGGGATTATCTGATCAAAAAGTACGCAAATGAACTGTGTTATTGCATTTAGTAGAGTGAATGAAATACGAGACTAAGTGTAAATATCTTGAGAGTTTGTTTTTGTTTCTTTCTTGTGGATACATACAAGAAAAATAGTGATTACTATCTCCAATCTTATTTGGACCATCAAATCATTTCTTTGTAAAAGAAGACATTTTCAGAGACCCTATGATGATGATTCAATAACTTATAGTCAAAAGTGATAATTACGAGGGTGGGCTGAAAAGTTTGTAGACTGACTATGAAGGAGTGATGCTAGAGTTGTGAAACCTTGCATGCATCAACTCTAACACTTCTTATTAACAACTGCATTTTTTGCACATTGTTTTTTTTTTTATAAATGCACATGTTATTTTGATTATGCATTCATATTTGTTTAAAAATTCACGGGTTTTTTTGAAAACGCACACATTTTTATGAAAATGTGCAAATTCACACATCATTCGTAATGCATAAGCCTTAAAAATGCATTATTCTTTTGGCAAATGCACAAGTCTTCGTGACGGTGAAGTTGCCTTTTTTTAAATGCACATACCTTTGTGAAAACGTACGAGTTTTATTTACATTATTTACATTGTTCGGACAGTTGTTTTCTTCTTCATTGTCATATTCACGACGTTTCGGCTGTTGTACGCTCCCGCCTTCTTCAGGTTACTGGAATTCCGAACTTTGACGAGCAATGTAAACAATACGTCATTTAAGAAATATGTTGAAATACGTTTGATTTTGTTTGAAAATAAACAAATTTCTGTGAAAACACATTAGACTTTTCAAAGTTAATTTCTTAGAAATGTAGGATTTTTTCGAAAATGCACAAGTCATTGTGAAAATAAACTAGTCTCTTTTAAAATGCTCATGTCTTTGAAAATGTACAAGTTTTTTTGAAAATGCACTAGTATTTTTAAGCCAAACATTTTATTGAAAATTCACAATTATTTTGGAAAATGTACAAATGTTTGCGAAGATGAACTCGTTTTTTAAAATTACACATTTTTTTTGAATATGCATTAACCATTTTGGAACTGCACATTTATTTTTAAATCTAATAAATATCTCCGAACATATACTGTACTTTTTGAAAATATATAACTCTTTAAAAATGCACTAAATTTGGGGAAACATCCAAATTCTTTTGTTAATTAAATCCTAACACGGATTACGTTCTTTTTAATGCCGTTTTTTACATTAATTAGGACGGAAAACTTCGAAAAAATGTTGTGTTGGTCTGTATTACAAGTAGATATTTTCGCCATTATCTGAAACTTTTGCGTCCCTATAAAATTTCGCCTAGACTAAAAAATCGTAAATTCATATAGGGAAATTTTCGATGCGTTCCAAGATCATCAAACATATTGCATGATATTTGCATTAATTATTACAGTGATTTTAAAACTAGGAATGTAATTCTGAAAAGCACGTAAGTTTATGACAGGTTTCCACGGTGTTTTGTGTCTTCCCTAAAAATGCGTGACGCTGAGTTAATCTACTCAAAGTCGTAATTCAGTCTTTCCACATCAGCAACAAAGAAAATCAACCTTCAAACCAACATAGGTGACAAAAAGTTTTTTCTTTTATTTTGAGAATACACGGAAAAAATTACCATAATTCAATAATTCCTTCTTTACGCCATTTCGAATAGAGCGGCAGTTTAAATAATAATGTCTTCCGCAAAAACAAGATGGTGTAAAAAGAATTTATGTACAGGGGAAAAGTTTCCGAATAATAAAATAAACCTTGACTTCCATTGTCGACGTATAAAATGGGAAGATATTATTGTTACAGATGCAAGGGTTTTATGGAGATAAAGTTGACATAAAAGGCTTCATCTGAGTAGGAAAGAATTTTGAAAAAAAAAAAAAAACTTCCACAGAAATGTTATTTTTTTAAAAGAATGTGTCTAAAACTGTTGTAGTTTTTAGTCGGGTTTCACACAAATCAGAGAATATTTTTTCAAACATTACACTTAGGCGATGAATAAAAGTGGGGTGATAATAATCGGTGGGGCCCGAATTTGTTTCAATATTCAATAAACCTGGAGGGGAACTCAATGAAAAGGAATCGGGAAAACATTTTTAACTACTAAACGCGGTGTTGGCGGCCTCGATAGAAGCTGGATGAAATTTGGAAACATCCTTTAACTGTAAATGTCTCTATTTCGATTAGGCACATAAGAATAGAAATTTAAATTAGTTGCTTTTTTTTTTATTTTAGCAAACATTGCTAATTCTCAACAAATGAAGAAAAAATAACCGGCCACGATGAGAAATGCGCTCCCGGTGAGAAAAAAAACATCTAGAGGTAAATGAAAACAATTGGACAAAAGACAAATCACTGCCTGTCTACAAAAAAGAAATCCAATAATCGAATAAAAAAAAAAAGAAAGTAAAATGGTTGACATACAGAAGAACCAATACCTCACAGTAGGTGAGCGTGTAATAATGACAAGGACATCTGTATTTGAATCAAAAATAAATTAAAACAGAACTAACAGCTGCATATATATAAGAGTCTGATAGAAATCTCAACAGAATGCAGAAAGCAATGGACGGCCGTTTCGTCCTATAATTGAGACTACATCAGCAGTGCGCATCCACTACCGAGAATTGAAACCCTGACAGTTAGGTTACCAAGTCGCCATCATACCAACTGTTCCACTGCGCCTCGGTGACGAAGCGATTGCAAATCAAACTCAACAAAGCGCCGCTCGCTCACCTATTCCGCGGTGGAACTCTACTGAGTTCTCTGTAACCAGAAGACTGTGCCCCTTGGAGCCACGACTACTCTCACCAAGCCGCTCACTCTAGAGCATTAGAAGCCTGTTCAAGCAATGATGTTCATGATGGAAATTATTAGGAGGATTTGATAATTATATTTAAGTAATTCATCGAGTCTGATAGAAATCTCAACAGAATGCAGAAAGCACTGGACGGCCGTTTCGTCCTATATTTGGGACTCATCTCTTCTTTGCTCTTCTCCGCCTTTCACTCAGCTCTCTCCTTTACTCTTCGTCGCCTTTCACTTAGCTCTCTCCTTTACTCACCTCTGCCTTTCACTCAGCTACCCTAGTTCAAAGAGAAAATAATTAACTAAAAGGAAAATATCTACAAAGGGATTTAATCGCTAGTGCAGCGACAATACATTTGCGCCCAGGTCCATAGAACGTTCCACCATTCTTGGCAGTTCTTCTGTTATCACATTGTCGGATATTTAATATCAAAGATGAGGGAAACATAACAAAAAAAAAATCTTGATGAAAATGGCTAGATTGGATGCATATAAAAAAATCTTTCTAAATTCTCAGCATCTCTCGTTCGAGCGCATATATAGTCACAACACCTTAAACAGACCCAATCTGATGAAGTCCTAAAGAATGAAACTCGTCAAAAAAAACAAAACTTTTATAAATTTTTATACATCTTTCCTTTCAAGACTGATGAACTCATGATATATAAAATGTGTATCTAAAAATTCATATATCGCTATTATATATATTTATCGTTATCCCATATATATATATATATATATATATATATATATATATATATATATATATATATATATATATAACTTGACATATAACAAACACCTCTGCTTTAATCAAAGCAGTGACCCCTTGATAATGAAAAACAAACCCTAGATCACATCTCCATTTCCAAACTATAAATGAGTAAAACATTCCGTAGTATGGTTATTCCAAAATCTCTTTCTGACACTGCCACCCGGTAGTTAGGGTTTAATATTAAATTAAAACTGAATACTGGTGACCAGTTTCGAAAAATAATAATTTGTGTGTCGCGATGGAATCATATTTTTAAAAATAATTATAATATATATATATATATATATATATATATATATATATATATATATATATATTTATATAACATATCGCATTAAATAACACTTTGTTTTGTCATTTAACCATTCGGTCATTTATTTATTTCAATTTATTCTTTCTTTCTTAGGACGTGTCTTTTTTAATTCTCTTTGAAATCTTTCTCTTCTTTCCTTGTGACCAATTCAGAAGCTATAGATCTTCCTAAAAACCCCAAAAGATTGATTGATGGAGAACGCACGCCAGACTCTTTGTATGTAAAGTTAGCGACATCGGCTAGGCGATGTGCGGACTAATTCAGTTCTCCGTTTGCAGGCCTTGAAGTTATGTGTCGTTGTTGGCAGTCTTGATCCAGGCACCATTCACGGACCGACTGAGTTTCAATACAATCGAGACGGCGTCGGACACGCGTTGTGATTGATTGAAGAAGCCCGTCGTCCGCTTATGGACAAGATGAGCCGAGGTAGGGTTGGTGTTTTTGAAGAATGAAGACTAGAATGTTGTTCAAATGTAGGGCAAGTAGTAGGTTAAAGAGAGAGACGGATAACGTGTAAAGGGAGAAAGAATGTAACTAGATAGATTGGTGGAAGAAAAATAAACGGTATAATGTGGGTGGTAAGAGAAGGTCAGTGAAGGCAAAGAATGCGGAAGGATGAGAAAACACGGACGAGGGTAAAAGAGAGAGCTAAGTAAAAGGTAGAGAAGAGTAAAGGAGAGAGCTGAGTGAAAGGCAGAGGAGAGTAAAGGATAGAGCTAACTGAAAGGCGACGAAGAGTAAAGGAGAGAGCTGAGTGAAAGGCGGAGAAGAGTAAAGGAGAGAGTTGTATGAAAAGCAGACGAGAGTAAAGGAGAGAGCTGTGTGAAAGGCGGAGGAGTGGAGAGGGCGAACTGAAAGTCGGAGAAGAGTAAAGGAGAGAACTCTATGAAAAGCAGAGGAGAGTAAAGGAGAGAGCTGAGTGAAAGGCAGAGGAGAGTAAAGGAGAGAGCTGAGTGAAAGGCCGAGAAGAGTAAAGGAGAGAGCTGAGTGAAAGGTAGAGGAGAAGAGAGAGCTGAGTGAAGGGTGGAGAAGAGCAAAGGAGAGAACTGTATGAAAAGCAGAGGAGAATAAAGGAGAGAGCTGAGTGAAAGGCAGAGGAGAGTAAAGGAAAGAGCTAAGTGAAAGGCGGAGGAGTGGAGAGGGCGAACTGAAAGTCGGAGAAGAGTAAAGGAGAGAACTTTATGAAAAGCAGAGGAGAGTAAAGGAGAGAGCTGGGTGGCAAAGGCAGAGGAGAGAAGAGTAAAGGAGAGAGCTGAGTGAAAGGTAGGGAGAAGAAGAGCAAAGGAGAGAACTGTATGAAAAGCAGAGAAGAGGAGAATAAAGGAGAGAGCTGAGTGAAAGGCAGAGGAGAGTAAAGAAAAGAGCTAAGTGAAAGGCGACTAAAAGTAAAGGATTGAGCTGAGTGAAAGGCAGAGGAGAGTAAAGGAGAGAGCTAAGTGAAAGTCGACTAAGAGTAAAGGAGATAGCTGAGTGAAAGGTAGACGAGAATAGAGCTGAGTGAAAGGTAGAGGAGAAGAGAGAGCTGAGGGAAAGGCGGCGAAGAGTAAAGGAGAGAGCTGAGCGAAAGGCTGAGGAGAGTAAGGTGACTAAGTGAAAGACGGAGGAAAGTAAAAGCAAGAGTAACAGAGAGAGAGAGAGAGCTGGGGAAAAGAGGGAAAATAGGTCCGAATGAAAGGTGGGAGAGAAAAAAAATGGAGAATTTTGAAAGTAAGGAAAATTGTCGTGTAAAAGACGTAGCAAGTAGAAGGTCAAATACGAGTAAAAGATGGATTTTTTTTACAATATCCACTATGTACAAGGCCCAAGAGCCACTCGAGTTAGAGGGTTACAGTGTAAGAGCCACAGCTTATGGGAATATGTGAGGAAGATATCGGTTAATTCTTGAGGGAAAAAAAAAAAGTTAGAAAGAAAAGAGAATGAGAAATTAGGCTATGATGTGTAAAATACGAAACGGATAAAAAATAGTTTATAGCATTGTCATTTTTTTTTTCACAAGGTAGGATGTTGCCTTGAAATAAAAATACCAGAGAGACAGAGGAAGGGAATACTAGAAAGATAAGATTATACAAGGAGTAAACAAAGATTATGTAAGTCGTAAACAAGATTATCCAAGAAGTTGACAAAGAAACTGCAAAAAGCTAAAGGACAGAAAAGTAAAAAAGTAAGTGGAAGAAAACATTGGAATTTTTATTGATTACTCTCATTTCTTAATAAAACATGAGCCAATCATGATGGAGGTCTAAAAAATATTCGTTACACCTTTATCCGTGTAGGAATGCAGGAGGTGATTATCACTCTTTTGACAAGAAAAATTGACTGATGTCTTAAGGGGCCCTCGAGACAACATCGTTGACGGAGATGAACGTGAGATTCCATTGTGTTTTGACTGACAACGAAGCACAGTAGCAATTCACATGCGTCCCCACAAAAGCCCGGGGCATTCCATAGGCTTTGAGGTTGTTACAAATAAGAACCTCTTCTTATTCCTCCCCTTCATATATAGCTTGCCTTTTTATTATATATATATATATATATATATATATATATTAAGAAATGGACAAGGTCCGACAATTTATTTATTAAAGACATTTTTTATGTTTAACGTTGTTATTTTATAGATACAAGTATTTAAGCAAATGCTCTGTTTATGATAAACAGTATTAAATAACATTTACCGGCCTGAATGTCCGAGAAATTTTCATAGAAAATATTCGTTCTTTGACAGGATTCGAACCTGCATCCTATACGGAACCGTCATATACGCTGACGTGCCTTACCTCTAGGCTACAAATGAAGTTTATAAGAAGTAAATTCGACCTTGTCTACCGAACGGTTCTTTGTAGCCTAGAGGTAAAGGCAAATGGAGTTCCGTATAGGATGCAGGTTCGAAATATATATATATATATATACCTTGTCCACTCAGCCACCATAACCTTATGAACGGTTCTTTTAGCCTAGAGGTAAACCTGCAAACAAATGACGTCATATGTTAAGAAAGGGACGAGGTCCGACAGTTCCGTATTTATAAATACAAATATTTAATGAATGTTCGTTCGAATAACATTTATATATATTTATATATATATTGTTATATAAAAAATTATGGTAGACAAGTTTTACTGTGATAAATCCTTCCAAAATAACATTGCTTGAGGATGAAATGGAACATAGGCCGGTAATGTCTTTAATTTAATTATCAAAATTAAATTAAAAATGTCTTTAAAGATTTCTTAACATATGAAGATTTTTTACATTCGATACGCCAGATAACAGTAAATTCGACCTTGTCTACAAAGGTTCTGGTGGCCGAGTGGTCAAGTCAGCGTATATGACGGTTCCGTATAAAAATGAACGAATATTTTAAATGAAAATTTCTCGACATTCAGGCCGGTAAATTTATTTAATACTGTTTATCATAAACATGCATTTGCTTAAATACTTGTAAAAAATTTTAAACATAAATAAAATGTCTTAACTATATTTATATAATATATAAAAATTATCTTCGCTTGAGGATAAATGAACAATGTCTTTAATTTAATTACAAAATTAAATTCGAAGCTTTCAGCTTCCATTTTTGAAACATATGTGTATATTTTAAATCAATTAATTTATCATATTAATGCTCTGTAAATTTACATTAAGCACTATTTTGTAAAAAGTATAAAATATCTATATATATATATATATATATATTCTTCCTTTTATATATATATATATATATATATATATATATATATATATATATATATATATAAGGAAAAACAGCAGACAACTTGCTAGACGAACTAACACCATATACAAAGAATAATTTCGAACAAGAATAAGAAAAAAAACCCAAAAACCAAAAGTCAAACACCTATCTACACAATAAAGTACTAAATGCTTATATCATCTAGGCAGATCAGAAACCGCTTCACATTTTAAGCACTTAACAAAGGACAGTCCTAGACGTTACTCAAGTTTCACGCTATCGCGATCTTCAGGGGAGGTTTTAACTTTATTTACCCATGACCGTAACACACCTCCGTTAATGCATCAAGGGGAAATTTTTAAAAAAGTGGATAATGCCTCCATCATAG